GATTTATATTGTAGAATAATCACTGATCAAAAAATATCACGAACTCTTCGCGGTGGAAAGAAAGGGGGTGCATATGAAGAACCAGAACAGGAAGAATTCCTGCGGAGATTCCTATTCACTGCTTACTCAAAACCTTCCAAGTCTCCTACACCATTGCGATGCACTTCACAAAAGACCCTATAGAATCCCTTCTCGAAGATTCCTCGACCGACGCTTAGCTCTGTAGCTTTCTTCACCGCATCCACTTCTTTTCTCGTCCTGTGACTCGCATCAGGAATTCACAACATCACAAAAGCATGAATAGAAAACATAGGCAATAGTTCGAAGAGCGCAAAGAAACCGTTATGCGATGCCTTCGTGAAGCAACCCACAAGAAAAATGTTTATGAATAATAAAGCTAAAATGCGAAGCTAGAAAGATTAATATTCAAAATCTCACCTTCTCTTCGGACTCCAATTTCACTGAAGATGACACTCTACTTATTCGCTCATCTTCGATAACTGAAATGAGTCTCTTCCTCAGCATACTTCACGAATACTTCATAAAATCATGTTAAACGTTAAGGCACGGATGGCAAAAAAATGGTGTGATATTTTGTTCGAAAATGGGAAAAGAAGTGCGAAAGGAGCACTAGTGGAGAAAAACGAAACCGCACAAGAGCGCTGAATGTTTCTTGTAAGGTCAGTAAGGGTCCGAAGGAGAACCTACAGCACGAGGAGAAGCTAAACGCAGGAGATCACATCGTATGCGAGAGGGCGTAAACATCACTTATGCTGCGACTGATAAGATGGCAGCGGTTGCAGCGGTTGAGCAAGGCATTAGCTCCCTTGTCGCGCATTTCAAGTCGCGACAGTATCACCACCCTGTGACTAGAGGTCCTGCTACCTCATTCAAGGACAAAATTTCTGTAAGGATCCAACCCGTCTCCTTAACAGTTACCCGTCTCCTTAACACCCAATAACCTTCACAAGGTCTTTTCACTAAGACCCATCGCTTTATATGAACGCATTCAATTATACTAAGCGATAAATGATGGGAACTTCGAGTGTTTAAACGGCTTTCCTATCATCAACATCGCCTGAGCAAAGTCCATGTCGCTTACAAAGCTAGCAACATTACAATTGCAGCTAGGATGGAAACTTAACGATCCACAATAACTTTACGTCAGTACCACGGATAACCCAACCCTAATATTGTAATTTCGATATTTCAAATTAGTGTGACCAGCAGTAAATTTGCTCACAAAACTCACTTCCATCCCTCCACTGCTGTAGCCTCCTCTCCAACTGCACTCTTGTCTGGCTTTCTCGATCCAACGCTTGGCTGAGATCATGGGCCGTCTGGACCTCGTCGGCAAGTCGCTGTTCCAGCTCTTCCACCCGTCCCTGTTGCTGGGTTTTCTCTACCCGAAGTTGATGCAGTTGTTGTTCCAGCGCTCGGATACGAACTTCGCACTCATGATGAGATGGATCACTTCTAAAATAAACATCGATGCCTTGTTGGGCTGGCAAACGGGTGCAAAGCCGTATTATCTCAATGTGTTCGAGAAGCAACAATTCAGTTATTTCGTCCTAGAATCTTTTCATCATGTCGTTTTGGATTTTACCACTGCACTGCTATCAGGGACAACCGTTCGCTGCTTCTACCACGGGGGTCGTACATTGGTTTTTTTTCGAGGAGGAGGAGGTGTCATACTCTGTGCTGGCCAAGGTCAAAAGGGGAAGGAGGAGGATCGTATTTGTGGAAAATGCGTGATTGTGTAAGGGGAAGTTGTGTTTGACGTTTTCGACGATTTCGACGAAAACTTCACTGAAGAAGAAGCATGTAATGGAGAAAATTAGAACACCTGCCGTTTCTTTCAGATACAATTCCCCCTCCCCCACCTCCCCACTCCTCACTCCACTCTCGATCGATGGCCATTTTGGAGAAAGTGGGCGGAGTTGGAACGTGTCGCCTGGTCTCAGAATCAGATACTACAGAACATGGTGGTGATGATGGTGGTGGTCGGAGGTGTGGATGAGATGGTCGTATCGAACCCCCTCCTCTCCACACCGAAGAGGAGGTCGTCAAGTTTTGGAATCGGAGCGATAGACGGTTGACACTGACTGGTTCTATTTACCCCACATTTTCGACTAATGGTAAGTAAGAGAACAACGGAAAACTCTGAAAGATACCTTGTAGCAGCGAGGAGCGGTATCACTTTCGTGTACAGTCGCCACCACGGCCATTCTCGCACCTTGATGTAGGCTTTGCCGTTTTTCTGAACAAAGCAGGAGCTCTTTCCAATTGTAACAAGTCTTAGTGCAGAGAAATAGTTGTCAAAAAAGTGGAGAGAATAGATCATCGTTCCACTGATGAGATCTCTTTGGTCTTTCGTTTACTGTTTTTACAGTTCGTACTAAGGTTTCAATGGTTCTGGTAAAAGACAGATAGAACTGACGTATAGAAGCGGTCAAAAGTGTTCGCCGAAACGGTTTTTCGGACATCTCTTTTTTTGCCAGAAAAATCAAGGGTGGCCTCGAAAATTTTTTCTTTTGAATATCCTGATTCTTTAAGACTTGAGGATATAATAACATATGGAGCAGTATATCGTATAAATTCCTTTTTGAAAACGAAAAAATGAGAAAAATCGCTGAGAATACGGGCCATAAGTCATTGTTCTACTGATACCTGTTGACACTATACCTGTTGGGTTGATGGTCACTTTTTTCAGGTTCTCCTATCTGCCGATGTGCTATGCGAACTAGAAGATCGTCGTGAACTGTCCTTGTCGGGCTTGGTAACCGCATTCCAGCGGGAGTGCCGCAGACATCTCGCGTCAAAGTGGTTGCAGCGTAGACGAGTTCTAGAGACGGCCATCAGATGCATCCAGGTACTGTATGAGACGATCATTACGATTTTGTTAAAGAATGTGGGTACTGGTGCCACTGATGTGCAGTAGCCGTCGAAAGTGTTCGCCGAAACGGTTTTTCGGACATCTCGTTTCTTGCCAGAAAAATTAAGGGTGGCCTCAAAAAAACTTTTCTTTTGATATCCTGATTCTTTAGAACTTGAGGATTAGGTGACATAGTATACCGATCTTTGGAGATGTTGCTCAAGCGTGAGAAAATAATACCCTAAAAATCGTTTCGGCGAACACTTTCGACGGCTACTGCACATCAGTGGCACCAGTACCCACATTCTTTAACAAAATCGTAATGATCGTCTCATGCAGTACCTGGATGCATCTGATGGCCGTCTCTAGAACTCGTCTACGCTGCAACCACTTTGACGCGAGATGTCTGCGGCACTCCCGCTGGAATGCGGTTACCAAGCCCGACAAGGACAGTTC